TTGGTGGGATGAAATATGCTAATTTTTTGGGACAGGCATTTTGGGTTTTCATGAGCTGTATGCCATAATCATCAGTATTAAAACAATTAAAGACCTGAAATATTTCAGTTGGTGTGCAATGAATCTGAAATATATGAAAGTTTCATTTTTATCATTACATTATGGAAAATAATGACCTTTATCACAATATGCTAATTTTTTTAGAAGGACCTGTATATATTATATATATATATATGTTAGTATTTATTTATATATTAAGGATTTAGTAACCCAGGGCAGTACGGTGGCGCAATTGGTAGAGCTGCTGCCTCTCAGCGAGCAGGTCCCTGGTTCAAACCCCGGTCCAGGGGCCTTTCTGGGTGGAGTTTGCATGTTCTCTCCGTGCATGCGTGGGTTTTCTCCAGGTACTCCGGTTTCCTCCCACAGTCCAAAAACATGCATGTTAGACTGACTGGTAACTCTGAATTGTCCCTAGGTGTGAATGAGAGAGTGAACAGTTGTTTGTCTCGTTTGTCTCTATGTGACCCTGTGATGGACTTGCGACCCGTCAAGGGTGTCCCCTGCCCCTCGCACAGTGATTGCTGGACATGGGCACCGGTGACCCCCGTGACCCAAAATGGAATAAGCGGGTAAAGATAATGGATGGATGGATAGTACTGTATATGTAACTACTAAAGTTTACTTAACAACTCTGCAGAACAGCAGCGGCTCGGTTCTGCTCTGACTTGGTTCTGTTTTGGTGGAGCCACCCTGCCAGTTATGGTCGGCTCTCTGGCTCGGGGTAGTGATGGTGGGCTCCAAATGGAGCGCTGTACCTTCGGCGGCACGCATCCCGCTCGAAGTCCTCGTGGGTCAGCTACCAGCTCTCAAGATTCATGGGTCTGGAGGTCCGGTTCTGCTCCGGTTCCTGGTGGGTTCCCTGTGGCTCTCTGCATCCACTGGGTGCCGAAGTCACTAATAAGAGTAGAACTTTTTCCGATCAGATCCAAACTTTCCTTCTAGTATTTCAACAGAAGGAAACAGGCTTTAGGGAGTGGTCCTGTTGGCTTCTGGGAAATGTAGTTGTTATGCTACAGTATATGTAGGCTTATTGAGAGAAAACTACATATAGCGGCGCCTGTCCCAAGTATTTTTTTTTGTTAACTTTTTACTGTACAGTATTCAGTACTGTCCCAATCATGTAAGTAATATTAACGTTGATAATCACGTGTCGTATACAATTTATTATTTTTATTTTTGTGTTCAATCGTACTTTGAAAAACCACGATAGAGTGAGTCTGCAAAAGTCGAACCGTAAAGTAGCGAGGACCTACTGCACTTCAGATTTTTGTGGGGGTTTCTGTGAATTAGTTTTCAGTTTCCTGCAGCAGATAGCATTTGGATTGACTTCAGTTTTAAGAATAAAGGAGAAAAAAAGTCACTTCACTCAGTTGATATTTCATTAAATATACCACTAAACTACTGCTGCAGTATGAAGTGCAGAGGAATACATTGGTGTTGACTTGTATCAATAATTAGAGTTTGCCAGTGTTTACTGAACACAACAATCAGTAAATCCTATTTTTCCAGTGTCTGAGTGTGACGTTATTCCTGTATCTAAGTTCTGACTTCTGAGGTAAATGGAGCGTAGCATTACAATCAAAAGAAGGCATGTGAACTGCTTTTTCACGTACCAGGGCTTATGCTAAGCTAAGCTACAGACTAAATACTTTATCTTTATCACAACGAAAGGCGATCGGTCATGTGATTGCCTCTGCGTATTTGTGTGTTCATTTGTCTGTCTGTTACAAAATGAGTCAGTGAACTGGTTTTAACAAAACACCCAACGTACGTCTACAACTGATTAACTTTTAGAGCCACTCCAATTCAAGATACTGGCCATGGCTGATCAACCTTATCCACTTTTTTTTTTTGTTTGTTTTGTTTAAAAATAACATCAAATATCAAGCTTTTCCTTGTAGTGATAATTAGGAAGTTCCTTTCATATTTTTTAGTTAATTTTTGACCACATTGTTTATTTTCCCTCCTGTTTTCTATTATAATCTTCTCTTATACTCATCAGTGGTTAACCTTTGAAGCACCCCCTCCTCCACAGAGCTGTAAAGCTCCTCGGCTCCACAGGTTACTCACTGTTACAGACGGTATGTAGCTGAGTGTGCAAGGTCAAGGCAGCGAGACTACGTCTTTCTCCACAGTAACGGCTTATTCAGCACACTTGGTTAGAGCTCTGTTGTGCCAGGACTGTTTAGTCTGTGTTTGTAGACAGACTCATACTAATCACTGCCTTTTGGGATCTCATAATAAGCACATGGACAAAAAATAGCAGAAACACCTGCATTTATGACTCAGACTCAGTTTTTAAACTGTCATCAATGCTACTGACCTCTTTATAATTCACATAAAGCACAAAAGATGCATTGTTTCCCTCCAACACAACTCGTGTGACCTTTTTTAATGAGCCGCCATGTTAAATTGTTGTCCTGGAAAATGTTGTGTTCTTACGTGTACTCAACAGTGCATTTGTTGTGCTCTGTTGCTGTTACTTTTTGTCACTAGAAGGCGCTGCCGTGACAGCATAGGGCAGAAGAGATTGTTTAGTAGGAACGCAGAAGAAGAGTGAGGCCGAACCGTATTCTGTCGTATCATCTTTAGTAGTTACTGTAATAAAGTTTGTTTCACCATCGTTTCCTAATACATTATAACCTCCACAGCAGAAGCTGTACTGAATGTATTAGTGTGAGCATGCACCATTTATAACAGCATATGTATACATTTATTTGATTGTGACCTTAACCCTAGCAGACATGTCTGCTGTGCACCCCATCATGGCTACATTCACACTGAGAATCAAAATCAGAATCACCATTATTGGCCAAGTTTGTGTGCTCAAACAAGAAATCTGACTTTGGTTTCAAGCACTCACAGCGTACAGACATCAAGTATAATATATATGAACATAGAGGAAATAGAGTAAAGGGTAAACAAACAGTACATGTAACTTCCTTCATTATATTTAAGAGAGGGAAAAAGGCAGGTCGTGGTTGTGCAAACAGGTTGATGTTGTTTCACAGCAGAGTAGCTGACTACTCAAAGATTCAAGGTTCTTTATTTGTCATACACACCACATGTGGTATATGTGGTAGGATGAAATTGTGTACACAGGGTCCCAGTTACATCCAACAAAAGTATTGAAATTAGGGATGCATGATATTGGATTTTTGGCTGATATCTGATATGCCGATATGTTAAAACTTATTTGGCTGATAACCGATACCAATATTTTTAATATTCTTTCCTTTGTCAGAACATAGCCCTCTTATTTAGGCGTATTTGCTACAAAACATGTGTAACAGCTGTAAGAGCTGGTGACATATATTCAGTAACAGCCATAGCACTTTAACTTACATTAAATTAAAAGTGTTAAATGTTATTTGTTAGCATTAGTCACCTGTGGTGCTGTCTCACTTGTGGAGGCTTGTTCTAGTTGCAGTGTGGATCCTCTGCACTCTTGTGCATGAAGGACAGACTTTTTAAGTTCAAAGTTTTTGTCTATCCAATGTGCCGTAAGACTAATCATGCTAACGGGGCTAACATGACGTCCAGTTGTCTGTGGTAAAACTCACCAAAGCGCTATCAGCTATTAGCTTCTCAATGACGTCGGAAATGACGGCTTGCAACTCGGGTAAGGTTATGTTGAAAAAATATCTCCGACTAGGTAGTCCAAAAATCTTTGGAATCCGATATCCTCACCAACGAAAGAAAGCCTTCCACACCACTGACATTGTGAATTTTCCTCTTCACTGTGAGATCAGGTAGGTGTGCGTGATGTCATCACATTGTGCTGCTGCTGCAGGCATCCTTGTCACTGGATTGTCATTTTATATCAGTGACTTATTTTGATGTAATGGCCGATGTCCGATATTGAACTTTAACGCTAATATCGGCCAATACGATACCATGCTGATAATATTGTGCATCCTTAATTAAAATGTAAAAGAAAAACAGTAATACGATCTAAGATATGAACTAAGAAAAATATCAACTAAAAATACACTAAGCACTAGTAGCATAAAAACAATACGCCGAACAGCAGCACAAACGTGAGTCTGTGTGAGCAGATAAGTACGAGTTAACGCATCAACATGAAACCGATCAGCAGCAACATGAAACCGATCAGCAGCAACATGATGTGATTTTTCACAGTGATTATCCTGGTTAGATATTCATGAGTCTAACAGCCTCAGGGTAGAAGCTGTTCCTCAGTCTAGTGGTTCTACACTTAATGCTCCTTAACCTCCTTCCTGAGGGGAGCGGTGCAAAAAGTGTGTGTGCTGGGTGAGTGGGGTCCTTCATGATGCAGGTGTCCCTCTTCCTGCATCTGGAGGTGTAAATGTATGTGATGGTGGGGAGACTGACTCCAACAGACTCAGGCTGTAAAGTGTTTATTGAGTTCATCAGAGAGACCACCTGGTAGAAGAAAGTGTCTGTGGCAGCTGGTTTTTGCAAATAGTGCTCTGTAACGCTGACATGAAGGTAAAAGTCTAAACAGATACTTTTGTATCCAGGATGTGTGGGGTCTGCAGAGATGTTACCAGCCCTTTTCCTGACCCTGGACCTGTACAAGTCCTGGATTGAGGAAGTGTCAGCTCCGATGATCCTCTCTGCAGACCCGATTGTTTGATACATTCTGGACTTGTCCTGTTCTGTTGATGAGCCAAACAAACCACACAGTGATGGATGTGCACCAAACAGACTGAATAACGGCGGTGTAGAATGTGATCAGCAGCTCCTGTGGTTGTTCTTCTTGAGTTGCCACTGGTAGTACAGTCTCTGTTGGGTCTCTTCCAGTGTCATGTGTGAGGACCACCTCAGGCCCAGAGAAAGTGTAGTTCCTAGGAACCATAAGTGAGACAGTGTTGTTGAGGATGCAGTGTGTTGAGGAAGGCAGTGTGAGAGTGGGGGCTTCTCTGGAAGTCTACTGTCATCTCCACAGTCTTGAGTGGGTTAAGCTCCAGTTGTTCTGACCACCCCAGTGGACCAGCCAATCCACCTCCTGTCTGTATGCAGATTTGACATTGTCCTGTATTGGACCAATAACAGTGGTGTCATCTGCAAACTTCAAGAGTTTCACAGACTGGTCCGCTGAGGTGCAGTTGTTTGTGTATAGAGAAAAGAGGAGTGGGGAGAGAACGCACCCCTGGGGGGTGCCGGTGCTGATGGATCTTGTGCAGGAGAATATGCTCCACAATCCCACCTGCTGCTGCCGGTCGGTCAGGAAACAGGTGATCTGCTAACAGATAGAGACTGGCACTGTGAGCTGGGTGAGCTTCTGATGGAGGAGGACTGGGTGATGGTGTGGAAGGCTGAGCTGAAGTCCACAAACAGGATCCTGGCATATGTCCCTGGGTGGTTGAGGTGGTGCAGGATGAAGTGTAATCCCAGATTGAGTGCATCATCTGCCGACCAGTTTGCTTGGTAGGCAAACTGCAGGGAGTCCAGCAGGGGACCTGTGATGTCCTTCAGATGCTTCAACACCAGTCACTCAAAGGATTTCATGACCACAGATGTCATGTCAACAGGTCTGTAGCCATTTAATCCTGTTATGGTGTGTTTCTTGGGGACTGGGATGAGGGTGGAACACTTGAAGCAGGAGGGAACCTCACACAGCTGTAGAGACTTATTGAAAATCTGAGTGAAAATGGGAGTTTTAATGCTTAATTCAGATTTTTTGTATGGTTGGCCAGATTATATTTTAGACTCAGTGTGAATTCTCTATGGCCTTGATGTGACCCACATGCACAGAAGAAGACGTGACATCACACACAGCATGTCTTTACTGAAGTAAATGTTTTATGTAAGGATTGCAAACTGAGCACCTACTCAGTCACCAAAACGGATGTCTTCATGCACAAAAAAATGCAATTTCTTTAAAATCTATAAATCACTATTTCAAATAGTTTTTGAGACATGTTTTTTTTTTTTTTTTACAAATATTTAATAGTTTTGTTTGATCCTTTATGGGCTTCTTGGCTTGTATGACTTCTCAGCAAGACATTAGTGACATAATCCAGATCGTGTTTCATTTTGTGGGAAGAATTTTATAAATTTTTTCAGCTTTATCTTTCTGTCAGACATCTATTGCCCCTTTTCCATTAGTACCGGTACTAATGGAAAAGCGGCATAAGTTTCATGAGGAACTAAAACATTTACCATTGGTTCCAGAGAAAAAGCAACCAATTTAGTTACCAGAATAACAAAAGGTTAATTTTAGGTATTACTTGTTTTTTTTAGCAGCAAAGCCTGTCTATCTTTGTAAAGCTTTTTGCTTTGTGTTGGCTCACAGACAGGGTGATTCAGTAAAACTTCTTTTAATCACTCGAATAGTGCATGACCTTTAATCATCCCCTCTTCTACCAGATTTACTCATTTGCTTGACCTTTTGGCTGCTTCCTGCTTCCTCTGTCAGCCTTCACCTGTGCTCTTCCTCTCTCTGCAGGCAGGACAGGTGAGCAGGATGATCTTCTGCCTGAGTTTGAGCTGCAGATTATGCCAGGTACGGCCAATCAGCTGCATCTTCTTCTCACTGCCCTGCGTTTTCCTGCTTATCTGAAGCCTCCTGATCTGTTTCATTCTCACTGACCAATCAAAACTCTCTTAACTTTGAAATAAACTTTCACTAACACATCTTACTGTCCTCATGATTTAATAAATATGCGGGTTCAATAAACCTATAGTAGCTTTAAAATGGCTTACTATGAACTGCATGTATTTTTAATGAACCAATATGATTTGGAATACAAAAAGCACATTCTTGTCATTGTAGAGCTAATTCTAACCTTGTAAAATGATACAGGCCTTTAGCATTAGCACCTGTGGATAGTGCTAGCTTTAGCTCGGTTAGCATTTTTATTCTTATTTCTGTCCGTACAATGATGTAAAACACACCAAAGCAATTAAAACATTAGGACAAAGTCCAACAAACTCCCGATTGGTTTATTTAGAGACATATCTCTGGCAGTTTAATACTTAACTTATCTATACATTAGCCGCAAGCTAATTGAGCTCAACTGAGTTATTCACTCAACGGGATTTCCACAGATATTACCCAACAAGCGGTCACCTCAGTCTCTCACTGGGATTTCTCTATGAGTGGTCACTTCTGTCACTCATAGACAGGTTGTAAGGTCCACCATTTGGTTGGTCAGTGCACGTGTAAAAGCATGCCTCAGGGAAATATGACCAAACCACGTTGGTTAAATTCAACTCAGTAGAAACTGAGTGCCCTCTGCTGGACCTTCCCGGTATCACAACCTAAATTACAGATATGGGTTTAGTAGCCCAATGTTTCATGTGGATTACATGTGGTAGCTTAGATATTTTTTGTTTGTGCGGGTTTGGCTTTATTATGACGGAGTATTAGGGCCACACTAAGAAAACAAAAAAATTACATTACAAGAAAAAAGTCATGAAATTATGAGAATAAAGTCGTACGAGAATGACCGGTAAGTCCAAATATTATGAGAATAAAGTTGTAGTATTACCAGAATAAATTCATAATGTTACCAGAATACATTTAAAATATTACCAAAATAAAGTTGTAATATTATCAGAATAAAGTCGTAATATTACCAGAATAAAGTCATAAAATTATAAGAATAAAGTCGTAGTATTATAAGAATAAAGTCGTAATATTATCAGAATAAAGACATATTATCTGAATAAAGTCATAATATTACCAGAATAAAGTCGTAATATTACCAGAATAAAGTTGTAATATTACCAGCCATAAAATTATCAGAATAAAGTTGTAATCTTATACCTGCGATAAAATGATGAATGTTGAGCATCTTGTTAAGTTATACTTTGGTACTGGTTTTACAAATGAGATAGTTAATCTGTGAGCACATCAGCATCAGATTATTATCAGTATCAGGACTTTGAAACAATTGTGCAAACGACTATGTCTGTTTCAAAGAAAGAACCACACGGCTTTGGAAGATATTGCTTCTTTTGTGGAAGAGGAGCTTTGTGGCAGTCGTCGACTATAAGGCTATAGATGGTTAGCTATAGTAGTGGTTGTTAGCTTAGTAGTTTTTCTAATTGAAAACACCTTTATTCTGGTAATGTTACGAGTTTACAGTATTCGCCTAATATTATGATTTTATTCTCATATTATTTTGACTTTATTCTTGTAATACAACTTTATTCTCGTAATGTAGTTTTTTTTCTTAGCGTGGCCCTAATACTCCGTCGTACTTCTTAACCTATCCTGACAACGTGAGTTGTTAGTGCTTGGATGTGTTCAAGATGTGATCATCGATAAGAGTCACTCAAAGTTCCCTTAAGTTTCCTTGTTTTATTCCTCTGTTTGGATCCATTAGAAGCATTAGTTTAAATACAGCAACTGATAAACTTGGTGTTATTTTTGCTGATGTTCTTGCTAGTTATGATCAAATAGCTCTCAGTATGGAGCCTGGAACCACACAATGACATTACTACAAAACGATGAAACCATGAAAATTGCAAGGTTGTTGGAAAGACATTAAAGAAACAATAAAATAATAGAACTGTCCTCAAAATCTTAGAACCAAACAAAAAATGTTGATTTGTAAGGTCATATCTAAAACAGGATGGTGAGTGTTGATTAACAACTCTTAGCACGATAATTAAATTTTCACCTTGCGTTAATTTTGTTCTTCTTTTACGTCAGCGTGTACAAAAATTTGTGTTGTACTATATTGATAAAGTTCAGTTGAAAACTTAGGAGGCTCATCTGGGATTTCAAACTGAGGTCATTTTTTGTAATTTATATTTTTTGTCATAGTGTTTCTTGTTTTCAAGTTCTATATATTACCTTCAGAGGTGAGCTTTGTACATTTAATGCTCACCACATGCATTTCTCTGTTTCTGTAAACCAGAATGGGCGTTTGTGGGCTCCGTGGTCCTGGGTGGTGTTCTGTTCCTGTTGCTGTTGGGGGTCTGCTGGTGTCAGTGTTGTCCTCACTCGTGCTGCTGCTACGTCCGCTGCTGCTGCTGTCCTGACACCTGCTGCTGCCCGCGACACCGTGAGTAACATGAACAACGTCTTTTATTTCTGTTTTAATTGTTTCAAACAATCAGTCTGCATGAAGGGATTTATTCTGTGGTTCGTGTAGTTTATGAAGCAGGGAAGATGGCCAAGAGCCGACAGGCTGCTCCAGTTCCTGTGTATCCGTACTACATTCCTGCTGTACCGACTGTGGTCCCTCTTGCTCCTTCATCCCATCTGGACCCAAAGATCTCCTCAATCACCTCAACGGAAAATAACCTGAATGGAGGTGAGTTATAAGTCTTAAACCTTTAACAGCAAAGAGGCCATGACGACAACTTATCACATTAGGAACTTATTAAATAAACATGCACTCTGTCTATTTCTAAGAACCCCCAAGGGAAGTATTTTTGCTCCTAATGTGTTTAAAAAAATCCATCTACACTGACTTGACTAACCTTTCATGTTAACCTTTAGTGTGTCTAAAAACAAAAATGTCTTGTTGTGTCATATATGTTTGTGGATTAACACATTACACGCTCAGCTGTATTTGTGTTTGTTTGTGTGTGTATGGGTGTGTGTCCATGTCTGCAGTGCGGAGTGGTTACCGACTGACCACGAGCCCAGACCAGGACTCAAAGAAAATTCTGTACTACATAGAGAAGGAGCTGGCTCACTTTCCACCCAACAAGATGGCTTCACTTAAATGTAAGCCTGTGCAGAGTAGTCCCGTTTCTGAGATTTGTGTGGCTGTAGGCCTGTCGCGATAAACAATGAATCAGTTAATCGCATGATAAATGAAAATTATCAACCTCATTTTCATTTTTGGTTTTAGCATTTCTTCGTGTCTCTCTCTTTCTCCTGAAGACACTGGATGACAAAAAAGCTAAACTCAGATGTTCTTCACTGACCCATCCCTTTCTGTTTTCTCTTTAAAATCCATTTTAACCGCCGGAAATCGCATTTTTGGATTGTTAAAAGCAGCTAAGCTGAGAAGCTAAGCTACGAGCTAAGCTAACGGGCCGACCTCGAGAAAAAAAAAACCTCTGTCTTGTCGAAGCTCCAAAATTCACGGTTGAAACCTGTGCCTTCATGTAAAAAGTTGATTTTCTCTGCAAAAAGAAGCTGAGAACTTGTTTACTGATTTTTTAAAATTAAACGCTTTGTGTGAAAAATGCTGTGCTAAAGAGCTCAAACCACACCGAATGTTCGCCATTTTGAGAACCGAAGAGAGACAGCCCATGTCACGTCAAGGGGCCTCCCTCCCATTTTTCTTAAAGAGACACGCTGCTCATTCTCTCACTATCCATCCTTCGGTTCAAATAGTCCTATACTGCCATCCGGTGGGCAAAAAAGGTACTACACGCAAAAACAAATTAACCAACATTTCTTCTTAAAATTGACAATAATTACTAGTTATTGTCAAATTTCAAACAATATTATCATTTATCGCAATAATTTCTGAGAAAATTGCGCAGCAAAATTTGTTATTGTGACTGGTGTGTGTTTGTGTGTCTTTAATTAATATATAATTGGTTAACTTGTGCCATCTAGTCCTAACGTTTATCTCATATAACCTTAGAAACTGTCATGTGATATTTACTGTTCCCTCAAGAAAGACGTTAGTGTGGCTTTATTACTATTTAATGTGCAACCTCAGCTTAAATTGTAAAATATTGGTACATCCATCCATCAAAGTTATACATTAATTTTAATCCATTAGAAAATAAATGTTATGTTTATGTTTGTAGCAAAGTCAACAAATAAATATGGTGCCCTTGAGCAATAACATAAAGAAAATAGGTATTTTCTGTCATTTACTGAAGACACAAGTCAGTAAAGATAATTTTCCTACTTGGAAAAACTACCATATTTTTCGGACTGTAAAACACACTGGATTATAAGGCACATTAAGTGAAACAAAACAGTCAGATAAGTCAAACTTGATTCAACTCATTCACAATAACCACATAAAATCAGTTTGCGGTCAGTAAGCACATCCAGAAATAATACATAAGGAGCACCTGATTATAAAGCTCACTGTTGATTTTTGAGAAAATTTAAGGATTTTAAATGCGACTTACAGTCCGAAAAATACGGTATAACTTTAGCCATGAATAATATTGATATATTCTTGCGCTTTGACGTGATGATCATACAACTTTATATTTATTACATTATGTAGTAGATTTGCCAATATGCTCACGGTTTCATGATGCAAACATGAAGATTACTCTGCTTCAGTAAAAAATAAATTCTGGTCTCATATGAAAAACTACATCGGGTTGTCATTTCTCACTTTGTATGTCAAATATCTTATAGAGCCATTTATTTAAAAAATGGTTGAAAGTAATTTTCTTAAGCAGTGATGGCTGGACATGGGCACCAGTGACCCCCCACGACATGGAAAGGAAGAAGCAGATAAAGATAATGGGTTGATAGATGGAATGGATGGACGGATAGAAACTTGAACAAGAGAAAACTGTGTATATTGGAGCAGAGTTTTTGATACATTCCGGCAACAAGTGGCTAAAAATAACCAAAGAATCTAACTTTTATAACCTAAACTTGTTTAAATCTACTTACTGCTAATGTTTTCTATTGTCACAATAAGAACAGAAACATATCAACCCTTACCTGTAAGTTTGGTAATGAAGTAGTTTGTGAAGCTCAAGCATTTTTTGCAGTCTGTAACCAAGATGTTTCACAATGAACGCTTCCAAATCTTCTCAGATTACTCCCAGCATTCCTCTCATTCCTCTTTGGTTAAATGCTGCAGAGCTTGACTCTGCAGCTGCTGGCCAGTATTTCCCACTTCTTTTTATGTTATAAATCATAAACAGTCCTAATGTTTGTCTCCACAGCCATCAGTTTGTCAGAGCTGAGCTCACTTCACGATGGAGGGAACACGGATTTTAGAAACAACTACCAAGCGGTGCAGATGAAGGCACTTCCACCCATCGCAGACCAGGATGCCACCCTTAGAGCCCCTCCACCCACGCAGAGTCGAAGGGCCAGGCATAACAAAGGCAATCACTCTGATGATGAACTGGAACGCAGGTCACTTGGTTTGCTGAATTTGGTAATCAGGTCGTTGTTCTCGGGGTTTAAATGTTTGACGTAATGGACTGATGTCGTTGTGCGTCAGGTGGAACCCTCGTTCAGAGCACCTGCAGAGGAAGACGCTGAGCAGGCGAGGGCGCACCGGCTCCCTGGATGAGCTGGAGGAGTTCGCCCTGTCTTACAGCTCTCGTGGTCGTCGACCTGAGCCTCCGGACCGGTTCTATGAGCGGGACTACAGCCCTCCCAGGCGCTTCCAACGGGATGAAGAGGACGACTGGGACCGCCGCAGCCTCTCACCTCAGCAGAAGAGGAGGGACACGTGGGACAGTGACCGTCCTTCTCGAAAGGCCCTGAGCAAAAGTTACGATGATGGCTTCCTCACAGGCGTGCTGGAGAGGAAGATGAGAGGGCGGGGAGTGGACAGGGGGGCTGGGAGACAAGATGAGGACAGTGACACTCCTTCTAAGGGCAGCTCCAGAGGAAAGGGCAGTGATAGTTACTACAGCCGGTCGCCATGCAACCGTCCAGACGAGGAGGACTCTTTGCCTCCGTACTCTGAGCGGGAGGCAGAGCGACACCGCAGGACTGAGCTGGCCACAAGCCGGCACCACACCGCAGATCCTCCCAGATCAGAGAGAGGCAGAACCATAGACCTGGCTATGAGGCCCTTCTCTTACACCCGTCCCCATCAGGGAGTGTCCCAGACGCTACAGGGGAGCAGAGAGGAGCGGGACAGAAACAGAAACCTGGTGAGTTATTTGTAGCACGGACAACGACTTCCTTCCTTTTTGGCTCTGCAGGAAAAGTCTGATGACGTCCAGTATTTTTTCTTATTGTCAACAAAAAAACTGCCGTATGGACCCACAAATAACAAGTGCTGTTTGTTGTTAAACTTTGCTATGTGTATATAAAAATAGATAAAAGTGAAGAAATTTTAAAAGGTGTCAAAAGACATTGTAGAGCAAACAAAATGTGACACAAGGTCTCCACAAAGATGCAAAAAGACCAGACTGACATCCAAAACAACAATGAATGGTCGCCAAGACCATTCATTGTTGTAAAATGACCAATGTTCAGTGCAAAGCAACTATAAAGAAACAAAATCCAACCAAAATGTAACATGTCCAGTAATGCAAAAAAGAACTGAGTCAGTATTAATTCAGACTGTACAAATTATGAGACATGTTTTCACTCTTTGTAGACATTCCTACTCTGACACTGTTATCAGGGGTGGTGGTGGTGGTGATGGTGAGGGGCTGGGGGTCAAATCCCTGTTCACTGTATTAAAGCTACCGCTCTTAAAAATGCTAATGCAAACAAAGCCAGTGATGTATTTAGGACTAAAACTAGCACGTCATGAAAATGGCACAAAAGATCTCTCCATCTTCAGCAATAAATGAAAGAACTGGTGCAAATTTACTAAAATAGATCATCTGTGAGCCAAAGAGTCACAAATTTCCCACGTTTAGTGTCAAATATGAGATGATAATAGTAAAAAGAGGATTTATACACTTAAATTCATACGGTGGACATGAACAGAGCTCCAGAAAAAATCAAAGTCAGGTTTTTCAGAGTGGTTCCCAGCCATGTTTTAACATCGAATAGAAAACAACTTTACAGACTGGTGGATGAAAAGAGGTTTTCCAGCGATATTTGTTATTTACTCATTTTCCCCGGGGTTAGCTTTTAGGTTTGTTAGTTTGTGAATTGAGTCGAGTGCAGAAAGGAGGCTTAAACAGAAATGGACATTTAGGCCAGTTGGTAACTCTCAATTGTCCCTAGATGTGAGTGAGAGAGGGAATGGTTGTTTGTCTTGTTTGTCTCTATGTGTCCCTGTGATGGACTGGAGACCTGTCCAAGGTGTACCCCGCCTCTCACACAGTGAAGGCTGGATATGGGCACCAGTGACCCCCACAAACCGAAAAGGAAGCAGCGGGTAAAGATGATGGATGGTCATTTTCAAACTTACCGTATTTTCCACCGTACACGTCACATCGTCCTATAAGTCGTATCAGTCTAAATATGTGTAATTAAGTGGAAAAATCCATAAATACGTCACATCTATTATGCGTCACCGCTGACAACCCGGAAATGTGGGCCGGTGTTGTGCCAAAAATCGATTGGCTGCCAAATGGTGACCGCGGGAGTGTGCACGGGAGGACTTTAACAAGAATTTAACAAGATTAACACTTAAAAACAATTATTTGTTTGCTCGAAATTATAGTAAATATGTGTCTCAGTTGAACTTTTACTTAATAAATGCACTTCAATGGTCAAATCAGCTGCATTTTCAAAAGCCGATACGTGAAAGCAGGAACGCGCAGAGGGCGACTCGCTGTGCATTTCTTTGAAATTGACCAAGATAACCACCTAAAAACAATTATTTGTTTGCTCGACTTTATAGTAAAGGTGTGTCTCAGTTGAACTTTTACTTAATAAATGCACTTCAATGGTAAAATTAGCTACATTTCGCTGGGGTGGCGCAGAGAAATGAAGCTGATTTGAAGGTTGCTCCAAGCGAGCTGGACGAAGGTGGCAGACTGTGGCAAGCCGATTGTATCATTAGCCACTTTTACCCATTACATGACACAACGGCATGCCATACCACTCAAGTGCCATCTAGTGGCTGAAAATGTTAGTGTTCAATATTTTCAGTCATATTGAATGAAAACGGTCATATCTCAGCCAAAAATTGGTTTATAAATATGGAAAAAAATCCATAAATACGTCGCTTCAGCGTATAAGTCGCAGGTCATGTAAATTATGCACAAAACTGTGACATAAGCTGAAAAATACAGTAAGTACTCTGCAGACCAGTGCATTTTAAATGTTATTTTTGCATGTTTTTATACTAAACGATTTGTGGACCTGTATCGGTGCTTGCACTAGTGGTTGCAGACTTCTGAATTAGAAGTTAAAAAAAGTTCAACTGTAAAATCATGGTTGCTGATTGTTTCGCTGCACTGAAGTGCACAAAATAAGTAGTGCAGGATTAAAAAAAAAAATCAAGTTGGAGAATCTTTGTTATCCCCAAGGGGCAGTTAGTTTCACAGTCAGTGGGCACACACAAAACATTCACACTAGACAAGACATTGAGACTTTAAAATAACAGAAATTATCACTGTTCATTGAGAAGCCCGATCACCACAGGGATGAATGAGTTTTTCAGTCTGTAGTACATCTGAGCTGCAGATACCTGCGTCCAGATGGAAGCAACATGAACTCACCATGGAGTGGATGATCAGGATCTGCCAGAATCAACCTGGCCTTGTTCACTGACCCCACCTTGTGTAGGTCAGTGAGATTCAGATGAAGAGCTGAGTTTCATGAATGAATGAATTAGTTAATTTCTGGAGCAACATATGTCTGTTTCATGAGTGCTGGAATTGTACTCACATTACAATAGTTGATAATAGGAAAAATACAATTTTTGTTGTCTTACATTATTGTAACTTCTTTTCTTGTGGCCACACATGATGGTCTTAACACTGAACTGTAATTGATTTTTTTTTACATGATTTTTAAGAAATGTAACCTATTTTTAATGTATAATGACCTCCTTTGCAACTTCCAGTGTTATAAAAGTTTACAGCTTACTAAAAACCTTTTTCATCTTGACTCAATGTTTCAGTCACCATCACGGCTGCTGCATGATTTAAACTCCAGTTCAGTCTTTGTACCTTCAGCCTGAGCACGAGCGTCTCTAACCTGTGGCCTCTCGGTGTGTTTCTCTAACAGAGCACCGCACTGAGCAGGGATTCTCTCATAGTGTGACGAGGCGTTCGAGCCTCGACCTGCACGGCTGCAGCTACGCACGAGAAGCTAACAGACCCACCATCAGTTGCATGAAGCCCGGCTCACTTCCCTCAAATAACCTCACTAACCAGAGAAATAAACGTGCATGTAGTCTTCTGGTTTGTCCATAAATTATACTTTTGTATTTGTTTTGTCCTGTTTGGTTGAATTTGTTTAGTGTCTTCCATCAGTGCCAAGATGCTTTTTTTTATATTTAATATTTGCCAACTTCAGAATAGTCTGGTGCAGCCTCCAGTTTCAATCCTTCTGCCTCGGTCCTCCGCAATTCAGGGTTGTTATTTTACATTTTCATGTTTCATTTTGTGACTGTAAGTACTGCACCTTGAGTTTTTGTTCTGCAGATTGTTGCACTGCTTAGATACTTTTTAATAAAAGACATCTCCTAAAGCCTCAGCTGTTTTTACTCGAACATAGAGCATTGGAGCAGCGAGGGAAATAAAACATCCTCTGACTGCAATTATTTTACTATAACTCATAAATCTACACGACAAATTAAACAGAATTTTACCACAGAAATACAGACATGGTATTTCTGTCGCTTGTTTGCAGTTTCATAATGTGCAACTTTTTTGTTTGCCTTTTTTTTAATCTTGAAATTAAACACGTCCCCTTATTTTAGCTGATTTTTGTGTCTTACTCTAGTTTATGATTAATTTTGTATCAAAATATGACTGAATGTTGAAAGACACAAAGCAAAAGAATGTATCACTTTAAATAAAAGATGAAAGTGTTGTGCCCAGACTGAAAAGAACTGCATGTTCCTCTTTGGCTCAGATGAAGAAACTGGGTTGCCAGATATCACAGTTTCTAAGTGTTTTTAGCACTCTTCAGTGAGCAGAAAGCTGTGCCAAAGTTCAGCTCAGACAGGCTTGGTTTGGTGTCCATGCCCTCCATAAGAGATGTAAATATTCTCACACAAAAGAGCCAAGACTTGTTGAACACGATGCATCCTGGGAGTTAATTTGCATCATAATAGAAGCTGCTTTCCTGTCAGATTTTCCCAGCATCCTCTTTTCTACAGCTTCAAGACTTTTGAAGGGGACGTCAACGTTCACAGGAGGAATGGACTCATCTCTAATAAAAAACAATAGTTTGATTACACTGGATGGATATGTGTGCTTTGTCTTTGTGGCACGTTTTGTTTTAAACGTCCTTGCTGACATTTTGATCAATATTTTAATTTAAAAAATGTCTGTTCAGTATCTGTGTGTGCTAAAGGTTCACTTTAGTAAGTTTGAAAACTGAATATGCAGTGGAAAAAGAAACAGTTGTTTAATTTTAAATCTAAATATTAAATATTGAAAATGGCATTTGCAGTGATCACATTAACCGTCAATGACAGCCATTTATTTTTATTTTTATTTATAAAAAACTATGAACTTCACTTATTACACACCATCTTTTTTTATGGTCAAAAATACTGCAGGCCAACTTTAAGGTTTTAGCATCACAACACTTTTAGCAGATTTGTGTCTTTTTGGATTCAAAACTTAATGTTTAATTCAAATAGTAAAATAGTCAATTAATTCATTTAGAATTGTATTTGTAACACTGGGGGCGGGGTCAGCGGTTGATTGTTGGTCAGTGCTGCGGTCCCATACTCTGCAGGTTTGAGCCCAGGTTGACCCATGAAGAGCATTTGGTGAAAACTATCACTAATCTTTGGTGTGTTTGCACGCTGTGGTGGTATGGAGGAAGGAATGTGACTAAATGAAATAAATAAATGCACAAACATAACAATTAAATGTATCATTTAAGTATTAAATACATCATTAAATATACAATTAAATTATTGAATACACTATTAAATAATGAAATGTACATTTTGAATTATTTATTTCGTGATTTATTTATTTAATTAGTTTTAAATTATATATTTCATTACTATGTATTTATTTATTTCATTTTGTTACATTACGTCCTCCACAGTAGTGACCCCAGGAGGCAGCTGAAAAAAATAAAAGTATCAACAGGCTGTTGAAACACACAAAACTATTTTTATTACCTAAATTTACACACACACACACACACACACACACACAATTTCAGATTCATAAATAAATTAGAAATCCATCCATCCATCCATTATCTTTACCCGTTTATTCCATTTTGGGTCACGGGGGTCGCTGGTGCCATGTCCAGCAATCACTGTGCGAGGGGTGGGGTACACCCTGAATGGGTCGAAAGTCCATCACAGGGACACATAGAGACAAACGAGACAAACAACCATTCACTCTCTCACTGACACCTAGGGACAATTTAGAGTTACCAATCAGCCTAACATGCATGTTTTTGGACTGTGGGAGGAAACCGGAGTACCCGGAGAAAACCCACGCATGCACGGAGAGAACATGCAAACTCCACCCAGAAGGCCCCCGGACCGGGGTTTGAACCAGGGACCTGCTCGCTGAGAGGCAGCAGCTCTACCAGTTGCGCCACCGTGCTGCCCTAAATTAGAAATAAAAGTTATTTTTCATCAGTAACCTGTTTGTTTTTAACTTTTAAAAAGTTCAGTTTCACTTTTTTCTAATACTGTATATTACTACTATGACTACTTAATATACTATTACTACTTTTCTATACTATTCTTTACTTTCTACTATACTATTCTATTTCAGAATTTAGAGGTGAAATGCAAAATAATGCTGCAGTTTGTTATTTTATATGAACTTTAATGTACAAAATACAATGCATGGAAGACACACACATTTACACACACGTTCATGTACACACACATAAACAGATTGTCAAAACATATTTTCATATTTTAAATGCAGCCTTAATACTTTTCCAGAGTTTTTTTTATTTAAAATAAATTAGTTTAATTTTAAACTCAAATGAGTAATTTCATATAAATGGAAGCCCATTTCCGACATGAAAGAAAAAATAAAGGAAGTCATCATTTTGAGTTTTAAAGTCATAATTATGAGAATAAAAGTCATCATTTCTAGTTTTAAAGTCATAATTATGAGAATAAAAGTCATAATTTTGACTTTTAAAATCATAATTTCGACTTTTAATGTCATAATTACGAGTTTTAAAGACAATTATGAGAATAAAAGTCATAATTTTGAGTTTTAAAGTCATAATTATGAGAATAAAGTCATAATTTTGACTTTAAAACTCATAATTTCGACTTTTAAAGTCATAATTTCGATTTTTCTAATTTATTTTTTGAAGTTTGTCCCTTGCCGGACAGGGATGCAACTTCCTGTCAGACACCGGTAGTTTTCCTGCATAGCACATGGATTCATTCATTCAGTGTATGTCCCTCTGCCTTCAAACATCAATTCTTTTAAATAAAGGTATGTAATGTATACATCTTTTCATCGCCACTTTATGTAGCATTTAGTATCGAAGCTCATTTCCACTATGAAATAAAAGCCCAACAGGAAGTCATAATTGCGTTTTAAAGTCATAATTACGAGAATAAAAGCCGTAATTATACCTTTAAAACTCATAATTTTGACTTTTATTCTCATAATTACGACTTTAAAAGTCGAAATTATGATTTCCTGTTGGGCTTTTATTTTTTTCTTTCATGGCGGAAATGGGCTTCCATACATATAAGAGCTTTAAATTATTGTGAATTTAGGCAGTTCGGGAGTAAAAGTACTTACCGGAAGTAAAAGTGAACAATATTTTACCTGTGTGACTCCTCCTTCGCCTCCATTTTGCACCTGCCGCAGGGGGCGGGGCTAATGATGTCACCTGAAGCTGGGTGGGGGAGGGGACGAATCGTCAGTTTTACGGCTTGTGTGGTTAAAGAGTAAAGGAACGAGCTAACGTGTCGTCCCTAGGTAACATGTGTGACAATTAGCTTTCATGTAGATATTTTGAATTATTTTTGTAGACTCCGTGTCGCTGACAGTCAGAGTGAATATAAAGAAGAACCGCGATGGGAAACCTGATCCCAGTGGTGGCATTTCTGCTGCTGCACCTGCCGACAGGTCGGTGTCTCTTCACTGTTAATAAACTTGTTTCTGTGTAAAGATTGTAACCAGGTGTTTTCATGCAGCTCAGTCACAGCAGAGACGTGAAGTTCATGATGAGCAGAGTAAACAAGAGGCCCAGTGTTATTTACACACCACTCCACTGGTTTCCACCTGAAGTTCAACTCACTGCACCCAGTTAGAAACGACAAGAGCTTTAGTTAGTATTAGATTACCAAAAAACAAAACCCTAAATCCATGTCGCAGTTTTATTTGATTTTTAATACCACTGTAAGTTTATGTATTTTAGGTTCAAGGTCACAGAATTAGACGAACCTGCTAAAAGTTTATTGTTAGAATAAAGTGAAACTAAATTCGCAGGAGTCCAGTCAACGTGAATGTGTGCGGAATATTTTCCCAGGAGGAAACTTTGTTTACACTACAGTTATAAACTTTAACCTGCCACTGTTTGTTTACTACAAACCGGAAGTTCCTAATCGTCCCTGGACTTTCACAGTAAAATGATATTTAACTCTAGAAAAGTTCCTGGAGGATCTTTGAAGAGGGTCTGCCTCATGGTGACCATTTATTTTTTTAATTTCCATTCACTATATGTTGAGTTACATTAATTTTAACTTTTTAGCTTTGGCAGCCATCTTTGATTTTTGATGAGCATTGATTGAACATGTGTTGAGGATGACTATCAGCAGAGTATTCAATGATACCAATGATTACTTTCTGAACGTTTCATTAAAATTTGGCGAACAGTTCATGAGACACCTTGCTAAGAAACATTCTATCAAGCAATAGCTTCACCTGCCTCCTTTACATGTTATGACGGGCTACAATAATTAAATGAGCCATCGAGCTCTAAATATTTGTAAATATTCCAAAAAGTATTGACTTATTTCTGCACAAACAGTTTTTGTTCCTCTAAAGCATAGGTGTCCAACTCAAGGCTCAGAGGCCAAATGTGGCCCTCGTTGACATCTTATCTGGCCCCCAAGATGTTATTTTAAATGTAAAATACTTTAATCACTTAATTTTATTTCAGTAATCTTTGATTATGATGTCAAAAGTGCAACAGAGAATGTCAAATGAGACCAATCCAACTCTTTTGAGGAACCTGAAACCAAGAAAAGATGTTGGGTGTCTAACTTGAGTTAATGTAGATTCTGAAACTGGCCCTTAGTTTGAAAAAGGTTTTAATTTTGGCCCCTTTTGTAAGTGGGTTTGACACCCTTGCTCTAAACTAAATTTGCATTTCTGCAATATGTTATGTATTTACACAGGCATGTGCAGAAACATTAAGAATACTTTCTGCATTGTTTGTCGGCAGAATCATCTACTCACCGAATAATTGTTTCATCTATAATTTATTAGGAAACACTTAAAAAATGGCTGCTGCAATTTCCTAAAATGCAAAGTTGTTATTGTGTTTTTGTTCTACAGCTTTTCCCTCCACAAATATGAAATATATTCTACATATTTATAACCCTTTGACCTGCTGTTATGGTCAGAGGTAATTAAACAACCAGTAATCTAAAGTTGTTGGACTGATTTACTTAAAAAAAAATTTTTTTTTTTTTTTAAGTTGCTTATACTGGTAATTTGTATAACCTTTATTTATGCACGTTAATCCCATTGAGCCTCGGGGACTCATTTACAAGAGAGACCTGAATTTAACAAAGAGTGATGATAACAGTGGACAGCAAAGACAACAATAGGCAATCTTAAAGAATGCATCCAAATTGAGATTTTTTTTAACAAGTGAAAATCAAATGGTAATTAAAAGGAAAAGTAACAAAAACAGCTCGATTATAAGGCGATGTAGAAAACTAAAAATAGGAACATGTCCGCTTTAGTTTTTCCCATGAACTTAACAGATGTTTGAAGCCACTTAGAGAGGTCAAGGTCAAGAGCTTCAGATCTTTTTGTAAGATATTCCAGGAAACAGGAGTGGAGTAGGAGAAGGCCCTTTTGACTAGTTCAGTCCTCACTGAGGGAACACTGCAGGTAATAATGTCCTGAGAGCGCACGCTGTAGCTGCACTCATGCAGAGACATGTAGGAGGAGATGTATGAAGGCAGCAGACCAAGAAGTGATTTAAAGATGAAAATGTACCAGTGGGAGAGTCTGTGTGAAATTAATGATGTCCAGTTAACCAGTGAATACTGGGTGCTGTGGTGGGTACGATAATCACAGTCAGTTATGAATCTTAGTGCACCATGATAGACAGCATCCAACATCTGCAGGGTGCTTGTAGGAGCGTTCATGTAAATAATGTCACCGTAATCAATGGAGGGAAGGAAAGTCACAGTTACAAGGTGTTTCCTAACATTCAGAGTTAGACAGGATCAATTTCTGAAAAAGAAACCCAGTTTAACTTTCAGTTTCCTTGCTAGGTTTTCCACGTGGAGCTTAAGAGAGATGTGAGTCGACCAAAATACCCAAATATTTATAGGCATCAACAAACTCAATAGGGACACCATTAGAGGATAAAATCTGGGACCGACTTCCTGTTTGAAAACAACATTGTGTACATTTAAGAAAAAAATCAAAGCTGAATTGTTAAATATATATAAATGAAGTAGCTTAGTGTGTGTTTTGTATTAGAATTAGAAAAATTAGAAAGAGTTATTCATTTTGTTCTGTTACTTGAAAATTATTATGATTGAAATAATTGTTTGAAAAAAGGGGCAGATATAATAAGATTTTTTCTTCTTTCTGTTGCCTTTCATTTAAAATCTTTTGTATCTTTTTTTATATAGTTATGGAATTGTTTTGGACTTTTTTAAAATGAATAAACTTTATACCATACCATACCATAACATCCCTTTGGTTTTGTCAGTACAACTGATGATTATGATGAAGCTGAACTTCATTTTATGCCAGAGTCAAGATGTTTGTGGAAATCTGATCAAATAAATGAAAAAATTAAAATTAAATAAGAATAAGATAAAGTTAGTAAATAATAATAATTAAAATCAGATTTATTTTTAACATTAACTTTATAGCATAACCTACCTGCAGTAGGTTGATGAGAATAAAACTAGATAAAATATTTACAAATGTTGCAAAGAACCATCTACTCCTAAATTTTTAATATATATTTTTTAATATGATGAACAGATTGATATGATAGTTTTGATTGATTTGCTATAAGGTATAATCGATCTGTTATTGGTCGACAAACCGATCTGGTGCCCCTGCTTCACTGAAAGCTTAAATATGTTCTTTGAATGACTGTCAGCTAACATCACATCTAATTTTAGCTCTGAGTCTGGAACACTGACTGAGTACTGCCAGTATTTTGGGGCTAATATCAATTAGCTGTAGTGGCCTCTTTAATCTGATCAACACCAAAAGTTAATCAGTCGTAGGTGCACATTCATTGAACACCTTCTGAGACTTGCATTAAAATTTTTCCAGGGGTTCACGAGATATTTTAGTAACAGACACAGGCAAAAAACATTAGCATTCACCTGCGCCAGTCAGCGCCAGGTGATTAAAAAAAACAAATTATGAAACTAATTGTTTTTGCAACCTAATTATTTTAAGCCTCATGAGCCAAGAAAGAAAAGCTGCTGCATGTCTGATAACCAAAGAGCTGCTTCAGAAGTGGTAAAGTGTTAAACTAACCCGTTTACCAGGACTGACACTTTTATTGTTTAGCAGTAATTTCCTGCCATTAAAGGTTCCTTCAAATATGCAGGTGGTGGCTGCTGATTGTTTTTAATGACACAGTACATTGTGTGTAGTAAACTACTAACCAGTCTGCTCAGATTTTTGTCAAACACTCAAACACAGACTCTAATTATCTGTAATAATAATCTAATTTCATCTTCATCTCGTCTCACCGTCCTCCTTTATTTAATTTATTTATTTTTACAGAGCTGCTGTCCATTCAGGTGGTTGTCCCAGAGACTGAGAGGAGAACCATGCTGTTCGGCTCTGTGATCATACGCTGCGATTACTCGACTTCGGCCTCCGTTCAAGATGTTCTGGTTTCCTGGAAGTACAAGTCCTTCTGTAAAGACCCAATTCTGGACTACTACTCCACAGGTAAGGCTGTAACTGGGAGGAGAGGGCAACATGAATGTGTTTTAGTGTTGTTTAACCAGCATGCTTAAAAACCACCAAGCGTTGATGAAAATACTGCAGCTTGGTGTAACAGAGGTAAATACAGCTGTGATCACTGACACCAGAAACCCTGACATCACTGGAACAAATCATAACACTGGACGTTACATGAGGGGTGTAAAGGAGGAGGATACATATGAAATGTGTTCATATGACACAAACAAAACACAGATCCAGTTATCTGTAAAGTAGTTAAAATCAAACGTGGCTGCTTTGATTTGAGTTTCCAGATTTTGATCATGTTGGAGAGTTTGTAGACTCATTGACTAAATTTTAGGTTGGTCATAAAAGTAAAGCACACAGGAAGTAACGACTGTGCTGGCTTCAGTGTTTCATTTTTACATGTTAATAAAACCTCGACTGTCCAGGTAAAGCTGTTTGTCTCCAAAGGTCAGTGTCTTGATGCAAGATTAGCAGAATATTAATTCAATTCAGCTTATTTCTATAGTGCCAAGTCACAATACAAGCATTGAACAGAAACATTCATATATAAAAATAATAATTTAACATTATTTACCTGAGGAGCAGACTGCTTTGAATTTAACTTCATCACAGAACTCTCATCCTGTGCAAGCATGAAGGCAACAGTGGAAAGGAAAAACTCCCTCATGAGGAAAAAACCTTTAGCAGAACCAGCTCAGGACAAACGACCATCTGCTTCGACCGGGTGGGTTTGATAAGAACAGGAAGGAAGAACAGATACACAATGGCAGGTCAAGAATCACATGTAAAAATAGAAATACTGTAGTATCAAATGAAAACTATTCAGTTTGAACCATTCATCTTTAAAAAGATGGTCAATTTGTCCTTTAGTAGTCCAAGTCTACAGCATCATAACAAGCTAACCCTAACCATAGGATTTAGCAAAAAGGAAAGTCTTAAGCCCAGTCTTAAAACTGGATAATGTGTCAGCCTCACGGACAGAAACTGGAATTTGGTTCCACAAGAGAGGAGCTTGATAACTGAAGGTTTTATTTCATATAGGCTTCGCCCTTTAAGAGCTGTCGCTTAGTGGGTTTATCCCGTTATGCGCTAGCATCATACTGAAAAAATTAGTCCACGCCCACCTGCTGTGTGGGCCCCACCCGATCCGTATAAATTACATTTATTTATTTAGTCACTTAATTCCATTAAGTGGAATGAAATTTATTGGATGTGTCAAACTTTTTTAACAAATAAAAAACTGAAAAGTGGGGCGTGCAATATTATTGGGCCCCCTTTTCTTTCAGTGCAGCAAACTCACTCCAGAAGTTCAGTGAGGATCTATGAATGATCCAATGTTGTCCCAAATGACTGATGATGATAAATAGAATCCACCTGTGTGTAATCAAGTCTCCGTATAAATGCACCTGCTCTGTGATAGTCTCAGGGTTCTGTTCAAGGCGCAGAGATCATCATGAAGACCAAGGAACACACCAGGCAGGTCCGAGATACTGTTGTGGAGAAGTTTAAAGCCGGATTTGGATACAAAAAGATTTCCCAAGCTTTAAACATCCCAAGGAGCACTGTGCAAGTAATCATATTGAAATGGAAGGAGTATGAGACCACTGCAAATCTACCAAGACCCGGCCGTCCCTCTAAACTTTCATCTGGAACAAGGAGAAGACTGATCAGAGATGCAGCCAAGAGGCCCATGATCACTCTGGATGAACTGCAGAGATCTACAGCTGAGGTGGGAGAGTCTGTCCATAGGACAACAATCAGTCGTACACTGCACAGATCTGGCCTTTATGGAAGAGTGGCAAGAAGAAAGCCATTTCTCAAAGATATCCATAAAAAGTGTTGTTTAAAGTTTGACACCTGGGAGACACCAAACATGTGGAAGAAGGTGCTCTGGTCACATGAAACCAAAATCAAACAGTTTGGCCACAATGCAAAATGATATGTTTGGTGTAAAAGCAACACAGCTCATCACCCTGAACACACCATCCCCACTGTCAAACATGGTGGTGGCAGCATCATGGTTTGGGCCTGCTTTTCGTCCGCAGGAACAGGGAAGATGGTCAGAATTGATGTGAAGATGGATGGGGCCAAATACAGGACCATTCTGGAAGAAAACCTGTTTGAGTCTGCAAGAGACCTGAGACTGGGATGGAGATTTATCTTCCAACAAGACAATGATCCAAAACATAAAGTCAAATCTACAATGGAATGGTTCACAAATAAACGTATCCAGGTGTTGGAATGGCCAAGTCAAAGTCCAGACCTGAATCCAATCGAGAATCTGTGGAAAGAGCTGAAGACTGCTGTTCACAAACGCTCTCCATCCAACCTCACTGAGCTCGAGCTGTTTTACAAGAAAGAATGGGCAGAATTTCAGTGTCTCCATGTGTAAAACTGATGGAGACAAACCCCAAGAGACTTGCAGCTGGAACTGCAGCAAAAGGCGGCGCTACAAAGTATTAACGCAAGGGGGTCCAATAATATTGCACGCCCCACTTTTCAGTTTTTATTTGTTAAAAAAGTTTGACACATCCAATAAATTTCATTCCACTTCACGATTGTGTCCCACTTGTTGTTGATTCTTCACAAAAAATTAAAATTTTATATCTTTATGTGTGAAGCCTGAAATGTGGCAAAAGGTTGAAAAGTTCAAGGGGGCCGAATACTTTCACAAGACACTATTTTTTGTATACATTTAATTCTCTGTCGAAGATATAAATTTATCAGCGGCAGTTGATTGTAAAGGTATTTATACTGCATGAATAAGTACAGAAAATCAATCTGTATTAAGCAGTACTGACATTGAACTAAAAATTGTATAAACTGAGCCTGTGTTATTGCTTTTTTTCTGCTTTTGAAGCTTATCATGCAGCTTTGCAGCTGGGCCAGGATCCCACTAATGACTGCCCAGACCGCCAGCGCACCGTTCGCACCGTCATCCAGAAGAGAGGCATCAATGAGCCCGTGCTGGGTGTAGAGTACAAAAATCGCAAAATTACCATTCAGAACAGTAAGTTTGAGCCCAAGAAACTTTTATCCTCAAAAGACTTGATTGTTTTCATCGTGTTGATCCAACATAGTACAGTAGAAGGTCATACAAATACAAAAAAGACTGGTTTTGCACAGAAGGGAGTATTTTATTAGCATTTAACTGCAAATTCTGTAGTTATAAAAATAGACACATGCTTGCTAATGAGCCATTTTCTGTCAACAGAGGCTGATTTAGTCATAAATGAGGTGATGTGGTGGGATAACGGCATGTATTTCTGCACCATCAATGCTGCTGGTGACACAACAGGAGACTCGGATCGTGAAATCAGACTCATTGTGTTTCGTAAGTTTTCTCCAGTTAGCTGTGTCACATTCACACTGAATGCACGGCTCGTATTTGTTGTGGGATCAGTGCTGGTGTCTTCATGTTCCCTAATCCAGACTGGCTGACCGTGCTGCTGATTATCATTGGCTTCCTCCTGCTCATCATGCTGTTTTGCGTATGCTGCTGTCAGTGCTGCCCGCAGAAGTGCTGCTGCTACGTCCGCTGCCCGTGTTGTCCTCAGACGTGCTGTTGTCCAGAAAAAGGTACAGGAAAAACTTGTTTACATCCAGTCATCAGGAGGAAGCAGAGGCAGAAACTTGATGCTGGAGCTATAATCAATCAAACTTTCTTTATAGAGCACATTTTGTAAAGTAAAGTGTAGCAGAAAGTGTTTTACTGCAAGGAAAAACAAAAAGTTAGACAAAACAAACAAAAAAAGCTTTAAGCAGAAACATGTAGAACTGTAATAAGTTGTAAAATGATTAAAAATAATGACAGTAAGATGGTCTGAAAGAAATGAAACAAAAAGGATTGCTGTTAAAACTGTCACATTTATATATGTGTGAATAGTAAAAGCATGAATTCACATCTATAAAACAAAAGTAATAAAACCAATGCACTAATCACATCAGAATAAGTAAATAAATGTAATGGAAAAAATAAAAGTAAATTTATTTCCATTAAAACAAGCCACTAGGGTATACAACTAAGTAAATTATAATTCAATAACATGTTTAATTTAGATGTATAATAAATCTAACTACAATAAACATAAGACTCACTAAAATATGTGAATAAATATTTTGACTAAAAGTCAGATTGAACAAAGAAGTCTTGAGTTTGCTTTAAATCATCAACACCTTCAGCTCTTCTCAGGTTCCACAGACGAGGGCCAGAACGAGAAAACGGTGCCGCCTTAAACAAATAAAACCTCTGTATTTAAACTTTCACCATGGTAAAAGTACAAAAGTATTTTAGGCTTGTTCCTACAGTAAACTTGTAAAGTCCCAGTGGTATTTAATTCTACTTCATCCACTTATAAACCTCAAGTTGTTTGGTCATGTTCATAATCTTGAAGCGTTATATAATAATTATCTTTATTTTGAAGTAAATATTATTATTATTATTATGATTAAATATAGTTTTCATTTTTTGTTTTTATTTTTACAATAATTAAACAATTTAACCGTTGAAAATATTTTAGATGTTTTACAGATGTTAAAATTATTTGTATTGCAGAAGTCAAATCAAAGTTTAGTAACAACAGTTAATAGTTAAGAAGCAGCATAAAATATAAGTATTCAAGTTAAATTTAATTAGGGGGAGCAGTGGTGCAAAGGCTTGAAAGGGTGGGCCTGTGGTTGGAGGGTCGCCGGTCAACTCCGGTTCAACTCCCCGGACAGACAACATCAAAATATGGGTGGAAAAGGTGAAACACCCACACCTGCCTCCACCCTCATTTGCCCCACTCTGGGCCCTTGAGGGGGCCGAGATGGGGTAGAGGCAGGGCAGCAAACTCAGGATCTGAAAGTCCCAGGTTCAATCCCCAGTCATTGCACAGCTTGTGGTGTCTCTGAGCAGCACACTTTATCCCGAATTGCTAGGGATGCACCGATCCACATTTTTTTACTTCCAATCCGATCCCGATATCTAAATCTAAATATCGGCCGATACCGATCCAGTTCCGACATCATCATCATTATTGATTTTATATGAGGCTGTAATAATCTCCTCTCAAGTACAGTTTGTACAAATATATGCATGCATGTCCAAAAAGTCAACTTGAGGTAAGTTTTTTTAATGTTTGATAAGTTTTAAAGTTAGAATTAAATTCTGCTAACACAAAACATGTTTTTTTATTCCTAGCTTTAATGTGGATAATAAAGTGATTAAGTGATTGTTTAAAGTTATTTTATATTTTTTAAATAAGGGGCAGATATAAGATTTTTCTTCTTTCTGCACTCTTTTCATTCAATGTTTTCTTTTTGATGAATTTGTTTGGTTTCTTTTAAATGAATGAATAAATGAATTAAATAAAATAAAATGTTAAATGGCTTCAAACACCTGCGAAGTTCATGGCATAAACCAACAGACATGTTCCTGTTTTTAGTATTTTACATCACTTTATAATGTAGCTGTTTTA